TTTCATACAGAGGTACATACATCTCTTACATAGAGCTATATATATTGATGATGCTTTCTTATTTCCTTGTAGGTTTTAACGGTGCACTCATAATAATTGTTTGGATCCATGCTACCAAGTTCCCACATTGTTGATTTGACAGATGAAAAAGAAATTTTCAATTCTAAAATTGATCTATTTCAATTTTTAAACTCGTGTAACATGAAATATTATCAAGTACTTAATTTTGCAAGCCACTAGATTGTTTCATTTTATTTTCTTGATGCATTTATTTTATTGTATAAAAGAGAGTATTTGAATCTTTTATTCAGAAAGGAGTTATTCATTTTAATTTTACAATCAAATCGTACTCTAGTTTTAATTAGAAGATTAGTCAATGACTGTTTTATTCTTCAATTAACATTTAGCAGTCATGCACAACTCAATCAACTTTTAGTAATATCTTCTTCTGTTCAAAATGTTAGAGTTGCTTGTAGGGGTGGTTGTAATTAAAGCATAAATGGCACACTTTGCAGCATTTCCATACTTTACAGTTTAGGAACATGTGTTCAAGTCCCAAATTCCATTTCTTTAAACTGCAGCAATAGCAAATATCACATGCGTGTAGATAAATTACATTTCTTGCATGCATAACTGAGTTCAAACATCACTCTAAGTATCATTTTCATCATAACATTTCAAACTAGTCTTAACATAGCGGTTAAGTGCCATTTATAGTCCTTTAACTTTCAATTTTAAACATTTGTTGTTCCTAAACTATTTTTTGCAAATTTTTAATCCCTTTAGTATGAAAAATGCATTTTTTAGTCATTTTATTTGTTAGCATGTCAAATCTGTCCATATGTACATATCTTTAGTCCCTAAACTTATAATGTAAGTACATTTTGTCTTTGAATTTATAAATTTAGAGACTAAAAATGTACATATATAGATAGATTTAATAAATTAATGAAATAATTAAAAAAAGTGTATTTTTAATACTCCATGGATGAAAAAAGTACAAAAAAATAATTCAAGGGTAAAAAAATGTTCAAAATTAAAAGTTTAGAAACTAAAAATGACATTTAACCTAATATAGCATTTAATTTCACTTGTATGCACTTACATTTCAGCTCAAGATTAAGTCCAACGTTTAACTAACTTTTGCATGCAGGTAAATTAGTGACCAGCCAATATATGAATTTCAATTCAAATTTCTATTTTGTGTCATACCCTGCACAATAAAA